GGGAAAGCATCCTTAGGAGATGCATTTATGGTATAGTGGACACAAGAACTCCTCTACCTTTCCCCCCGATTCCTCTACTCCAAAGGATGTTGATAAAAATTCATCATACCCCGCCAATGTCATCTTGACAACCATGGTTTACAATGCTCAAGTTGACGGTGACCCAATTCTTCAAACTGCCTCTGTTAACGCATCTCCTCATGCAGAATGCAGGACAAATTTACCACCCAGATTTGGGCTCCCTACATCTGACAGCGTGGAGAATTCTTCCATGATTAGAGAAGTCCTAGACAAGGCCAGGAAACCTACCAGGCTTCTGTATTCTTACAAATGGAAAAAAATGTACATTTTCCTCATTCCAGGAACTTACAGCCCCTACCAGTATCCTTGGAGACTCTTCTCATGTACTTACGTTATTTGTTTGATCAAGATTTATCTTTCTCTATATTGATGGTTTATATCTCAGCAGTCATTTCCTATCGGATTTGTCACGCTTGTTCTCCCACCCTACATTAAAATTGTTCTTAAAAGGTCTTCACAATCTGTGTCCTCCTACAAGACCTCCGTTATCGCAGTGGTCGTTGCAGACGGTATTATATGCCCTTACTCATCCACCCTTTGAACTCATGGCTTCTTGTGATCTTCGCTTATTATCTTTCAAAACGTTTTTGGTGGCAATCACTTCAGCTAGAAGAGCAAGTGAACTGGCCGCTGTGAGGGTTGATCCACCCTATTTACAATTTTTCAAGGACAAGGTTATTCTCTACCCCGATATCTCCTTCCTCCCTATGGTTGTTTCCAGCTTCCATGTTAACCAACTTTTGATCTTACCAACACTATTTCCAAACCCTACATCTCAAGTTGAGCACATGCTCCATTGTTTAGATGTGTGTCGCGCATTATCTTTTTATACATTGAGAACTAAAGAGCTCCGTGCTTCTCCCAAGTTACTTGTTTGCATTCATGGCTCACATAAGGGTTCTCCTGCATCTTCTCAGACAATTTCAAGATGGATCGTGTCCACTATTGTTTTGGCTTATGAGCTAGCTGGCAAAGCCCTACCGGACAACTTGAAAGGACACTCAACAAAGGGCCATGGCTACATCCACTGCCTTGTTACGTGGTATGGTTATAGAGGACATTTGCCAGGCGGCCACATGGTCCACTCAGTTGACATTTGTGTCACATTATCGGTTGGACCTCAGAGCCAAAAGGGAAGCACTTTTCAGGACAACTGTTTTCACTTCGTTGTTGCCATGACATCCCTCCATCTGGTAAGTGAGCTTGCTAGTCACCCATTTGTGTGCATTCACAGAGGCCATAAAGAAGAAAGAGAGGTTACTTACCTGTAACCATGGTTCTTCAAGTAGACCTCTGTGAATTCACACATCCAGCCCAGCCTCCCCACAGTCCATGACTTTCCTTAATTATCTGAAGTTCAGAGTTTTTTTTAGTGAAGGGTAAAATGGAACTGAGGCACAGGCGGGTGGAGCATGTGCAATAGGGGCAACATACAGTGTTCAACTTTTGTTACTTTTAAAGCTGTAGAATATTCCAAGGAGTCCAGCGCAGGCACTGACATCACCCATTTGTTTGAATTAACAGAGGTCCACTTGAAGAACCATGGTTACAGGTAAGTAACCCCTCTTTTCTTTTAAATTTATTAGTAACATAAGGTGATGAATATATGTAACTGTTCCTAAAACTTCAATGAGCTTGAAAAAAGATATGCTTGGTAGTTTCTGAAAGACACAAAAGGTGACAATCTTCTACGAGGGTACCTGAACTTGCTGGATTGTGATCTCTTGACTGTAGTAGGGCAGTTATTTTCAGAAAGAGCTCAACTTGCTGGGATCTCTTGACTGTAGTAGGGCAGTTATTTTCAGAAAGAGCTGTTGATACAGTAGGACTGTATCTGCTGGGGATTGGTTTTGAGCCCCCCCCAATGAAAACCATGGATACGATACTACACAGTATATATAGCATGGTAAAAGGAAAAATCAAAGGCGGACAATTCAACACCACAGTAATCCAAGTTTATGCACCAACCACCCATGCTGAAGAGGCTTAAATTAACCAGTTCTGTGAAGACTTACAACACTTTCTAGAACTGACACCAAAGAAAAATGTTCTTGTCATTATAGGGGACTGGAATGCTAAAGTAGGGAGTCAAGAGATAAAAGGAACAACAGGTAAGTTTGGCCTTGGAGTTCAAAACAAAGCAGGGCAAAGGCTAATAAAGTTTTGACAAGAGAACAAGCTGGTCATCACAAACACTCTTTTCCGATTATATTCTCTGCAGCCAAAGATGGAGAAGCTCTATACAGTCAGCAAAAACCTGGAGCTGATTGTGGCTCTGATCATCAGCTCCTCATAGCAAAATTCAAGCTTAGACTGAAGAGAGTAGGAAAAACCACTGGGCCACTCAGGTATAATCTAAACCAAA